CCCTCCTCTGCACCCCTCTAAGCTACGCGGCATCCGGAGTCTCCGCAGCTCCATCTCCCTAAAGCAGCAGCCCCCAGACTGTGCCCGGCCAAGGCAGCACTGGCAGCTGCTGCTGCTCAGCTGTCGTGTTTATGACGTGCCGGAGATGGGGCCCCGTGGTGCAAGGTGCTGTACAAACGGTGGTGGGCAGCCCCTGCCCCAAAGAGCCTGCCGTTGAAATAGACCAGACCGAGCCGGGGGGTAGAGCAGGAATAGGGGGATGGCAGCAAAGGGCCACGTCCGAGCTGTGATTTTGGGTGGGTGGGATCAGTCGGGAGGGGATCAGCGAAATGGAAGGAGGAGGGGAATTGATGAATCAATTCACTGGGTCCCCTAACGTTTAACCGGTTAACTGACTAACCGAGATCCCGGGCACGGGACCGCTTGAGCACCACTGGAGCAGTTCCCCGCTGGCTCCCGGCCCCAGTCCTGGGACTGCAAGTGGCAGCAGGATATGGGCCGGGGGCTGCTCCTGGGCACTAGTTAACCATTCCCTGGTTAGCATCGCCCGGTCAGAGTGATGTTTACTGGATAACTGGTTACCTGTTCACATCCCTAGGGTGAATGGGGCCGAGGGGGAGAGGGCGTTCAGCCAGTCATCCCAGGGCAGAGAAGTCTGCACCAAACAGCAGAGAATTCCGGGACTAGCTAAAGGTCCCTGCATTGGCGGCTCGCTCCCAGGCGTCCGTGGCGCACCCCTGCGGCTGGGCGGAGGTCTCCGGCAGGGCCCGCGGTGGGGAGGGCTTGGCGGGCCGTCCGTAACGCCCTCCCTGCTGCTCTCTGTGCAGATTCGCTTCATCCTCATCCAGAACCGGGCCGGCAAGACGCGCCTGGCCAAGTGGTACATGCAGTTTGACGACGACGAGAAGCAGAAGCTCATCGAGGAGGTGCACGCCGTGGTGACGGTGCGCGACGCGAAGCACACCAACTTCGTGGAGGTAAGGCGTCCCGGCGTGCCCAACCCCCGGGGCCCGGGCAGGGCCTCTGAGGCTGCTGCAGGAGTAATCCCGCCCCGTCTGGCCTACTCCTTCAGTTTATCCCAACCTTGGCCTTGGAGATCTCGCTGCTGGGGCTGCTCCCAGTGCTGCATGCTCCTAGCCGGTCTAGGGGGAGTGTATCTCAGCTGCTGAGAACCAGCCGTCAGCTGCTCAGCCTGCGGTCCCCTTGAGCGAGGAGCCAGCTCAGCCGTTTGCAACACGCCCAGCCAGACTCGCGATCCTCTGGGTGTCTCTTCTGCCACAAGCCACTGACGCCTCATCTCCTAGGAGTCACTCCGCTCAGCCTGATGGGCAGAGGGGCCGCTCCGAGGCTCTTCCCATTAGGCCACACTGTCTCCGTGTCCGTCCTGTCGAGAGCCGATGGGATGGACACAGACAGTGTGGTCTAATGGGTGGAGTCCTGGAGCGGGACTCAAGGGAACTTGGAGTCTGTTCCTGGCTGTGTCCTGGCCTGCTGGGTGAAGTTCAGCCAGTCACTGCCTCAGTTTCCCCATGTGTACAATGGAAATCCGACGGCCCTTCCTTCCTAGAGCACTCAGAGGTCTGTGGGGGGAAGCGCTAGGCTAGAGTGAGGGATGATTCTGTACAGTTGGGTGTCGCCATCGAGACGGTGGACCCCTTGGACTCCATGACGGGTAGCTCTGTGGATGGAGCCAGCAGAAGTTGGCGGTGTGTGTGGGGGGGTGTCGATCCGGGGCACCTCAGTGGGCCGCCCGGACGCCAGCTGCGGCTCTTCTCTCTTCTAGTTCCGAAACTTTAAGATCATCTACCGGCGCTACGCGGGACTGTACTTCTGCATCTGCGTGGACGTGAACGACAACAACCTGGCCTACCTGGAGGCCATCCATAACTTTGTGGAGGTGAGCGCTGCCCGCCCCTTCGTGCTGTGTCGTGGCCTGGTCCTTCCTGCTGGCTCCTCCGGGCATCCGCTTTTAACAGCCCCTCTCTGCTGGCCGGATGTAAAGATGGTGCCTTGTCCTCCAGGTGGAATGGGGTTCTGTGTGTTAAAGGGGCAGGGGGAAGCACTTGCGCGTTATAGCAGATCCCCCTGGCTGGAAGGCATCCCCTTTTAGGGACCCTTTCCTGAGCAGAGGCAGGGTCCCGCCCAGGAAGCGGAAACAAGCGATAAGGTTGGTACCGTTGGAACAGCTGACCCAGGGACAAGACTGGCTCGTCCCACATCCGGGCTGGCTGTGGCAGGGTCCTGGATGTGGTTCCGGGGGCGGAGCTCTGCAGGCGATCCGGCCGGATTCGCTCAGTGATCTCTCGGGGCTCTGACCGGGAGGTGGCCCGATCTCTGAAACCCGCCTCTCCTTTCTCCCGGCCCAGGTTTTGAACGAGTATTTCCACAACGTCTGTGAACTCGACCTGGTCTTCAACTTCTACAAGGTGAGCTCAGCCTGGAGCAGCACCCGGGGCCAGCCGCTCCGCTGTGCGCTGTGCCGGCTGGACCGGGGGGCCCTTTCGCGGCAAGCAGGGACTCTGACAAAGATAGCGGGGTGGGTAATGGATTGAACGTGAGCTCCCGGTGTGTCCCTGGCCTGGTCAGCAGGGGGCTCTCGCAGGGGACGGGGGAGGATCCATAGAAGCAGGGTGCTGTTAGAGGTTCTTTTCCCTCTGTATTTGGTCCTGGGGTGATCACTGCTGAAATCCTGGGTCTGTTGCCCGCAATTCAAGGAGGATGTTGATAAATTGCAGAGGGATCCGAGAATGATGCAGGGGTTAGAGAATACGCCTCGTCGTGCCAGTGCTCCCTGAATCTCGCTGACCAAAGAGATGGTTAGGCAATGACATGGTTCCTCTGTCAGTACCTGCACCGGGAACGAATATTGAATAACGAACGGGCTTCTCAGCTTGACAGGGAGGGAGGGGTCTGTCGCAGTCCAGTGGGCAGGAGCTGAAGCTAGACATCTTCAACCTGGAAATACGGTGTCAGTTTTTAGCAGGTAGAGGAATTCACATCAGAGCCACTGACCAAGGGGCTGTGGTGGATTCTCTATCGCTGGCCATTTTAAAATCAAGATGGGACTTTTTTAAAGAGATCTGCCCAGGGAATTATTCTGGGGCTGTTCTCTGACCTGCATCATGCTGGGGGATCAGACGAGATGATCGGCCTTGAAATCTATGAATCCTCGGGGCGGAGGGAGGTTTAAACGCGTTAGGAACAGCCCTTGTGGCGGATGATTCTTGCAGCTTTGTGGGGCAGCTTCCACGCAGCCCTGTGGCCTCCCGTGTAACCATCCGATGCTGCAGGGAGATACCATCGAGCAGGGCTGTTGCTCTCAGCAGCTTTCTCCAGAGCGTGGAAGGTAGACCAGTTTCCCCCTGTGGAATACGGGACTTTTGAGGACTGGAGTGTGGCAGGGAAGAGGTGAAGCATGCTGTGCTGGTCCCTATTTGACGGCTAAGGACCATTTGTCAGGCCTCCGTGTCAGGGATGTAAAAAGGTGACCATGTAACCACTCACATCCTAGCGTTTACACACGCCGCGGGCTCTGCAGGATACAGATTGGCAGCCCTAGCGTGTGAGCTGCGGCAGGGGGGCAGGGCTGGGCCCTCCATGGGCAGGTGCTGTTCCAGCCGGCCAGAGCAGAGTGGCTCTGCGGGAAACAGGAACCGGTAAACATTCCCCACTATACCTGAGGCTTACCAGCTCACCTTTTCCATCCCTACTCCGTACCGCGAGGGCCCCCAGGGTAGCGCAGAGCTCCTGGGGGAAGGTGCACGTCCCAGTCTTTCTCCCCTCCCGGGCCTGGTCACAGCATTTTCCTTGGAAAGGCTTTTCGGTGCCACTTGATGGAAGCACCAAGGGGCTCCGTGCTGGGCTGCCCGTACGCCGGAGAGCTCCGAGAGGGAGGGGCTGTGCTCCGTGACCTGCCCGAAGCGGCCCTTTGTGCGTCTGGCTCACAGGCGGTCCGTTCTCGTGGCAGGTTTACACCGTGGTGGACGAGATGTTTCTGGCCGGTGAGATCCGCGAGACGAGCCAAACGAAAGTCCTGAAGCAGCTGCTGATGCTGCAGTCCTTGGAATGAGAGAACTGGATCAGATCAGCCCCATTCTGCCTTGAATCAGTGACTGTCTCAGCAAATTTAGCCACTCCCCAGCGGGGGCAGGGACACCCTCGCAAATGGATCAGAACCACAAGGTGAAAATTTCAGTCCCACCTCCCCACGCTCGAATGCGGCAGCTGAGATCCTGTGGTGGGTGGGTCAGTCTAACGCCAGAGCGCGACTGTATATACCCCCTTCCCCCAACACAACCGTCCCTGCGCCTGTATTTTGTCCCTCTGTTTAACCAGCGCACTATGCCCCTGCTCCCTTCGTGTCAGTGTGTTGTGCCGAGTCTGCGGTAGAACCGGGACCAGAAATCCGTGTTGCCCATTGGTGAGTGGCAGCCGCGCTGTATGGCCAGTGCCGTATTGAAATAAACCGTCTGTGAAACACGCCTTCCTGCCTGGCGGTGTCTGAAGGGCCTGGCGGAAGCCGGAGGGAGGGAGCGAAGGCGGGTTCCTGCAGGTACATAAGGCCTTGGGGTGCATGCTGGGTGTTGCTGTCCGGCATTGACAGCAGCTCACGTTCTCTGTGACCTCGGTCTCCCATGGCCCCTGACGGTTCAACAGCACAGACTGTCACCCGAGCTGGTGTGGAAGGATGTACGTGGGTTCGGGGGTAGGTTCCCCCCCATGGAAAAATGATTTTGACTAAATTATGGGAAATCTTGGCAGTCTGCCCCCCAAATTTTTCTCCCCCCCCCCAAACTATTTCAATTCTGAAATGCTGCTGTGGTGCTTCATGGGAGTTGTAGTTCAGGCACCTTAAGCTTCCATTCTCCCCAGAGGCTAGGCTCCCTGCTTGGACTACCACTCCCATGATGCACCAGAGTCTTCCCTTGATGGGAGGCCATGCATCATGGGAGTTGTAGTTTAGGCACCTTAAGCTTCCATTCTCCCCATAGGCTAGGCTCCCTGCTTGGACTAGCACTCCAAGGGAGGCCATGCATCATGGGAGAGAGTTTTTTGAGCTAAGAATTACAGCCAGGAGAGTTCAGCCCTGAAATGGCAACTGTGCCTTTCCCCGCTGGGCTCCCCAGCCAGACTCAGTGGCTCCATGTCGTGTTGGGAGCTCCCGTGTAACCAGCAGATGCTGCAGGGAGATACCGTAGACCAGGGCTGTTGCTCTCGGCAGCTTTCTCCAGAGCGTGGAGGAATTTCCCCGGGCTCTCGGGAGAGGGTGCTGGAGCCGTTCTCAGTCGGGAGCGGTTGTGTCCCCTTGGCCTGATTCGTTTTCGGAAGGTCCGTTCTCTCACCACGCGTGACACTTGCAGTGATCCGCTGCTCCGTCTCCACTGGACCCACGCTGGGCTAACAGCTCACCGGTGCCTTGAGCCCAGCACCCTGTATGAGACACGCAGCAGCCTGGAGCCTTGGTCATGGTCATGGCTGAGTCATGGCTCCGGCGCCCCTGGTGTGTGGATCTGTGCGAGCACCCTACCAGAGGGGCGGTGCCCGCTGCTTCTGACGTGCGAGTTGCTACTCTCAGTCCAAAAAAACCCTTCCAAACCAACCTGCAGTGTGAAACTGCTGAGCTGGGATTCACGTGCAAATCGGACACACTCCAAAGGTTTAAATAAAAACATGGAAGGGCTCTCACGTTACAATGGGAAGTTTCCATGTCCGGTACCCTCCTTCCCCTTACTGCTGGAGAAGCACCACGCCCACTCTGATTTAATTAGCGCTGATGTCACACTCCCATCTCTGTATCCCTCCCTTTTTTCTTCAAGCATCCGAGGAAGTGAGCTGTATCTCCCAAAAGCTTATGCCCGAGTACATCTGTGGGTCTTGAAAGTGACCTGGGATTCCTTGTTACTGCTAGCAATGGAACCCATCTCTCGTGTGTCCCAGTCTGGTGCTGTATTCATTAGGCATCACTGCCTCTCCCTCATTGCTGCCGCAGTACTCTGCCTCCAGCAACAGCTGGTGGGTATGTTTCTAGTGGGTCTCAGGGAGGCTGGTTCTTGGCCCTCTGCTATTTAACATTTGTATTAACGAGCTGGAAGAAAACATAAGATCAACGCTGATAAAGTTGGGAAATGACACACGAATTGGGGGAGCCAATGAGGAGGTCAGGTCGCTGATAGAGGGCAGCCTGCCTCACTTGGTAAACTGAGGGCAAGCAGCCTGCGTGTGCTTAATATGTCAGGAGAAACACATGCAGAAGCGAGATTCTACCCCAGGGAGGCAGTGACTCTGGAAAAGGGAATTAGCCAAACCTGAGCCCCCAACGTGATGCTGCAGCCAAAAAGGCAGATGCGAGTTTTGAGTAGGAGCGGAGAAGTGATTTTCCCCTCTGGATCTGGCCCTGGAGTAGCTGCTGCTGGAGTCCAGGGGGTGGGTGGATGATTTAAGAATGTAAATAAATTGGAGAGGGCTCAGGGAAGAGCCCCAGGAATGATCAAAGGCTTAGGAAAGCTGCCCTCCCGTGATAGCCTCAGGGAGCTCGGCATGTTTAGCATCACAGCCAAGACCAGTCTAACATGCTCTGATGGTTGAAAGTGGAAGGCAGACCTGCAGTTCTCAGACTCTAGAAAGTGGGTTGTGAGCAGTGTTCCCTGTAAGCTGAGCACTTGGGCAGCCACACAGGAGAGATTTAAGTGCCACCTGCCCAGCTGATTAGCAGAGTGCCCAGAGCCACCGACAGCTGGCAGCATGTTTCTACTGGTGGTGCACACCTGGACATGCCTCGGTGCACGTAACAAAATTTATTCTGCACACACGAAACAAATTAGAACACTAGTTGCTCCCCTGTTTTAGTCGGGTTGCCAGGGCTGGCGTTGGCCCTCAGCTAGTGTAGGGCCCAAACCCCCCCAGCCTCACCATGTCGGGCCCCACCACTAGGGGCTCAGGCTTTAGTTTCAGCCCTGAGCAGTGGGGCTCAGGTTACAAGCCCCCGGCCCAGGGATGAGACCTTTGGGCTTTGCCCCCATCCCATCCATGGTGGCAGGGCTTGGCCAGGCTTCAGCTTCGATCCCCCCTCCTGGGGGAAGTGGCGTGATTTTAGTTCTGGGGGGGAGGTTGCAGCGCGATGAAGTTTGAGGCCCCCCCTGAGCTAGACAGATTCATGTGGAAAACGAGGCCCACGCTTGTAACGGGGGCACAATTCACCAAGGCTCTGGAGTCTCCAGCACAGGCCGTTTTAAAGCCACGACTGGATGTTTTCTCTGAAAGGTCAGCTGGAGCCCCGGGGTGTCCAACGCGCCGGCCACTAGCCAGTGTGGCTAAGTTTCTGTTTGGGACCAGTCAAGGGCGTCCTGGGTTCCCCAGGGGGCAGACCAGAGGGTCACAACGGGCACTTGGAAGCCGTGACGTCACCTGGGACGCTTCACAGGAGCGGGGAGACCGGGAGAGTTGAGGCCGCACCTGCGGGACGAGCGGAGACGTGAACCCCCCACGCCCGTGCCGAGGGTTTTAGTCACACCCCTCGTCTTCGCCCGCAGCACACCTCTGCGGAATGCCTAGACGCGGCTGGGGAGGGGCCGGCTGCGCTTTGCAAGGGGGGGGAAGAGGGGTGCGGACCCTGCTGCTGGTGCCGGCCCCTCAGGGGTCTGTGCCTCCCCCCCACTTACCGGCAGCAGTGGGGAAAGCGCAGCAAGGCGGCCCCAGCTCACGCTGCTCTCTGGCCGCGCTGCTTTGGGGGGGAAGGGCAGGACCACCCCAGCAGTCGCTGGGGCCACATTACTGCACTTCCCCCCTCCCCTCTGCCTGTGAGTGGGGGGAGGGCAGAGTCCTTCCACCAGTCCCCCCCACAGACTGCGGGCCGGCCCCTGTTGCCTTGGGGGGTGCTTGCGACCCCTCGTGCACCCCCACACGTCACCCCTGCCAGATGCCAAGGCAGCGAATTCCACAAGCTGATTGCTTCTCGCACAGGCGAGCCGCCCCCGCCCGCACCCCGGCCCGCCGGGGCC